TTGGCAGTAAATTTGTGGCATCAGTAACTAGCGAACAAAATGCAGGCTGAAAATAGATGTCAAGCAAGGAGGGGCTTCTGAGGAGGAAGTAAAGACAACAGAAAGAGGTCCTGTTTCCACCTTTGCCCCTGTGAACGGAGGGATCTCCTGCCCAGGTGTGTTCCCCAGAGCCAAACCGACCTCAGTGAGTCAGAGGGAAAATGCCTCTGTGTGCTGATCATCCAGTCTGGCAAGCACCTACACAGGCAGGAATGTGCACCCAAAGCAGGACACCCAGGGAAGGAAGGGCAGGGGCTGGCAGCACCTCCTCTGCACGGGGACACCGAGTCACACGCCCCCACACAGGGCCAGAATCACACCAGCACACGCAGTCGCACACACCACGTATGTGCGACGGCACATGCAGGCTCACGCAGGCATACATATAGTCTCTCCCTTGCGCACACACACATGTGCACACACTCACATGGAGTCACCCACACGTAGAGTCACACAAGAGCACATAGTCACACACACGTGTAGAGGCACAGACACACGTGCGGGTTGATGGGAGCACATATGCAGTCACAAATGCACTCAGCCACAGACACGGTACATACACAGCTATACAAATGATCGCACACCAGAACAATCCAACCAAAACCACCCTTGTCCCAGAAGCGGGTGCCGGGCAAGCCTGTTCACCAGAGCTGCGGCTGTGGTCTGATGGGTTGTGATCCATCCTACCCTGACAGAGAAACGGACCCAAACATTGGACTAAGCTTCAGCTTCATTCCGTCCAAACCTGGCCAGAGCCACAAGCCTGCTTCTGCCAGCTGGCCAGCCAGCGCAAGCCCTCTGCAAGCAAGCGGTTTATCGGGTGCCCTGAGCTCCTGGGCAGACACTGGCCACGGCACAGGGCTGGCCCTCCCTGCTCACCAGCAGCGTGAGAAGTTTCCATCCTGGGGCTGCTTCACCCAGAGGCACTGACCACCCACTCCACACACTGTGAGTGATGCCAGCTGCCACCGCAGCTCCGGTGCCTGCACAGTCCCAGGCACGGCCACAGCGAGAGACAGGCTCAGGCTCTGTCCCAGCTGGGGAGTGGGGACAGCTGCAGGACGGTGGCTGCAACTCCCTACCCCAGCTGAGGGACTCAGCCGGAGCAAAGGCAGACTGAACAAGCCCAGGTCCGTGGAGACCTCCATGGCAGCCGGGACTGTGGGCAGGGCAGCCCATGAGCAGTTGTGCTGGGCACCTGTCAGAAGAACGTGGTGACAAAGAGTCCAGAAGCCTCACTGTGCCTCTGCACCCTCCACAGCCATCACTTGCCCAAGCTCCAGTGAGAGACATGCCCCGTCTCACCCCAGGGCCAGTCCCTGTGCCCCAGGCCCTGCCGCCCCACCTGGGTTCCCGGGGCTGCGGCTGCCATGACACTGTGCTGCAATGGTCGGACGTCTGTATTTCAGCTGTGCTCCTGTATTTCAGCACAGGGCAGGGCCACCCTGCAATCCCCAGGGGCGGGGAAGGGAAGGATTTAAATTGGGCGCTTGCCTCAGCTGCTCGTCCTGGCTG